TAAAAAATAGTTGAGGTTTTATGTTTACAGTAGTATTCAATAATGGAATCATAATAATAGTAGAAACAAAGTGTATGATTCACTTCTTTATTTTTTCATATGATAAAGATGCGTTACGTATGTACGTACCATTTACATGTTGCAAGATTGGAAATGGCCTTAATTTGTAATTTGTCGGAGCAGAGAAACAGACTGAAAAATACCACCGTACATTGTTTGTAAATATGATTAAGATAAAAATATGCTTGCTGATATGAATATATATATATGATTATAAATCTCTCTCTTTTATCTATCACAAATAGATTGGAATCCATGAAAGGAATTATCGCAAACAGAATAAGTTTACTATAGTTTCACATACATATTTATATAAATGAGCCAATCAGAATCCTTCCAAATATTACGTCATCAGAACATAAAAATTTGAATATTTATTTTAACATTCTATTTTCTGTGTAATTTAGGAATTATTTAATTTCGTAGAGAATTTTGTAATCCAAGTTAAGATCTATAACGGCCATGTTATGACCATGTAAGTATGTCCATGAAATGAACATACCCCTTTATTTCATATTAAATGAGAAATGAACTTTAACCATTGCCAACAAACTAATCCCGCCACGTATAAGAAAGGCTGATCAGTTTTACAAACATTTCACGATAGATTTTATAAGAAGAGATTAATCATAACTTTTATTGTTTGTCGCACAATTTATCAACTGTTTCGTAATTAACAATGGCACGAGCACTTGTAGGTGTAAAGAGAGTTATCGATTATGCAGTTAAGGTAGATATTGATAATAAAGAATATCAAAATGATAAATTTTAATAGTATAGTAATTTTTCTTATCAGTTAATGTAATCATCATATATTTTATTATGTAATTCATTCTATTTTATTTTTTCTTAATTTTTAGATTCGTGTTAAACCAGATAAAACAGGTGTTGTGACAGATGGAGTAAAACACTCGATGAATCCTTTTGATGAAATTGCAATTGAAGAAGCTGTACGAATGAAAGAAAAGAAATTAGTACAAGAGATAATTGCAGTTTCATGTGGCCCCCAACAATCTCAAGATACACTAAGAACTGCACTTGCAATGGGTGCTGATAAAGGAATTCATGTTGAAATATCTGGACCTGAATATGAAACTCTACAACCTATTCATGTTTCTAAAATCTTAGCCAAGTTAGCTCAAGAAGAGAAAGCAGATTTAGTTATAGTTGGAAAACAAGCAATAGATGATGATTGTAATCAAACTGCCCAAATGATTGGAGGTATTTTGGACTGGCCAACTGGAACATTTTGTAGTAAAGTAAGTCAATTGAATTAAAATTTTGAATAACATTATTCAAAAACATATTTAAAACAAATTTTTTAATTTGGTTTGTACTCTTTTATAATAGATTGAAAAGAACAACAATGAGCTGACTGTTACACGAGAAGTTGATGGAGGTTTAGAAGTTGTTAAAATGAAAATGCCAGCAGTTTTAAGTGCTGATCTGCGTCTTAACGAACCGCGATATGCTACATTGCCAAATATTATGAAAGCTAAGAAAAAACCGATTAAAAAGATGTCACCAAAAGATCTTGGTGTTGATACTGCTGCAAGAATTGAAATTTTATCAGTTGAAGAACCACCAGTTAGAAAAGCTGGGGTTATTGTGCCAGATGTTGATACATTAATTACAAAACTGAAGGAATGTGGTCATGTATAATCGTATTATTGCTGAAAAGAAATGTTAAAATTATTTTATGGCATTTTACATTCATTATACTTTTTATTAAATTTTACTGTATATAGAACTTTTTATACATCATGAGATGCTCTATATTATATGTGAATAAATTTTTGCTGCATCGAATAAAGCAGTAGGTCCCTTCATGATATAACCGATACTTGCAATGAAATGACATCTTACATATTTATATATCTCTTTGGTAAATAACAACATTGTTTTCCTACAACGATGTTGTACTTCTACATTTTCACACATTAATCATACCAACAATTCTCTTATAGTTTTACACAATGTGTGAGAGAATTTTATTATTTGTTGATTTTTGTAATTTTCAGACAAATAGACATATATTCGTGTATGCATACATTTTGATAAAGACATCAGATTTGATTTTATACCTACTCTATATATAACAATACATTCAAAATACATGCAGACTTTAAAATTTGAATACATAACAAATTGACACAATAGTCTTTTGAATTTTCATGAATCACAATTAGTGTCAAAGTATATTGCAATATAATACTTTGTAATCACGATTTTTAATACATTCTTAATAATTCTGAATGTACTATTGGTACTTTTCCTGTCAAGAATTACATATACTATACATCGTTTTACTAAAAATTTTCTAGACATCAAATATGAAATCTATGAGAATATATCTTTTTAAAAATCAGTATGCTAAAATATTAATTTATACATTCTGTTTAAAGACACATGTTCCAAGTCCTTCATAGAAAAGGTATAATTAAATGCCAATACCCGTATTTATTGCCCTACAAATGTTAATGCTTTTAAATATTGTATAGTCAACTGGCATTTTTTGTTATATTATAAATAACCCAACCCAGAAAATCATTTTCTTAATACTTGTTTTCTCTTTTTAATGTACTCTATATAAACTAAAGTGTTATAAAATATTCATTGTATTTCAACAGTCTTTTATAATTAAGCTGCTTTTGGAGCACAAAGGAGTAGAAGAGAAAAATTGTATTTAAAATATGAATTTTTCCTTACAACAGTACTTTACAATCAAACCTAGAATTACTGGTATGGGTTATAGGTGGAAAGGGAGGAGGATGAAGTTGCCAACCATCCAAACCTTCGCGTGCTGTTAAGCATGCTAAATATGGTACTCTTTGAGCTAATCTAGTAACTTCAGAAGGTACTGGTACTCTTCCACCTGTTAATTGTCTGGTACATGCTGGCAAAGAAGCAGCATGAGCTACTATTAAAATATTTCCTACTGTATTTTCAATAATTCGTTTAATTAGTTCATAACTCCGTTCATAATACTGGTCTGTATCCTCTTTCAATGGAAGTTCTTTTGCTTTAATAATTGGATCATAACTTTTGTCTATGTTAAAACCTGCTTTTATTAATTCTTTAGATGTCATCCAAACTGGAACACCATTTGGATACCATTCTAACCATTCTATGAGTCCTGGCTCTATTTTCATTGGAATATTTATATCTAGTCCTTTTAAAATATGAGCCAATGTTTGTATACATCTTAATGATGGTGATGTAAAAGCCACATCTATTTTGATACTAGATGCCTTCATTGCTTCACCTACTAAACTTGCTTGTACTTCACCTACAGTTGTTAAAGGACTATCATTTCGGAAATCCTGTATATTCCTTGATGGCATTTCCTTTGGCAGATTCAAGTCTCTACGAATATAAGATCCGTCCGATTCAAAGCAATAACGAATCCATGATCCAAATGTGAAATCCACCCTTTCTCCATGGCGACATATAAAAATTTCTCTTGGAGAACTTGGAGGTGCTTCAGAAGCCTCAAACTGCATAAGAAAGAAAATATTAAAAGTAGAAGTTTTGTATCTAAAAAGGATAATAGATAATTAATATAATTTACTGGTTCATTAGTTGCTGCTACTCCATCAGGACTATCTATAGAATCACTTGATAATACTACTGGTGGTTTGCGAGTTAAAGGTATTTCTTCTTTTTCTGAAATTCCACTTTTATTGTCAGTAATTTGCACAGTAGCATGTAAAGTCCATGAATCTGATTCAGCTGTACGTTTTGTGTGGTTTAAAGGTAAATGACCTGAAATGCCAGTTAACCAAGAGGTACCTTCAACCCAACCATCTGTAGATGCACTACATGCTCCTTCTGGAATGTAAATGTAATCTCCCACTCTTAGCTCTAATTCATCCTGTTCTCTAGGCATGTGAGGATATCTCACTTTATGTACATGTGCATTTTGTAGTCTAGGATCTCTAGAATATAATCTAAGTTCCCAATTAGTTGGACAAGTAAGTGTCAATTTTTCTACCATCAAACGCAATTGTTGATACAAGTTGCTGGGAAATTGATAGGCCAATGTTAAATGTAAAGATTTTACTTGGGGCTCTGCAGAAATGCCCAAACTTGAAAGTTTATTTACATAACGAATAGCAATATCTTTTAGCCATTCTGCATTTGCTTCTTTAACAAAGAGACCCATAAAATTGGGAGAAATATAAGTTTCTAACTCAATAGTATCTGTTAATTCAATTTGGTTAACTGTAGTTTCAAGAGCATTTACCAATCCTTCAATAGATTCATCCGGTGCCTGTAAATAAAATATTCATATTATTTTTTTATTGTAATTAATATGTATTATTAACATAATGTCATACTTTAAAGCATGACACAAGTGTAATATGTGGCATATAATTATGCACTCCATTCCATATAAGTTCTTTACTCTCTGACCAAAATTTTATAAGCTGCCCAGCTAATTCACCCGTAGGACAAGCATACAAAACATATTGTCTATGAGTATCAGAGTCTAAAGTAGGGTCGTTAACATGAGCTACTAGCCAATCGGATGCAAGTTGTACACCTCGATGTCCTGTAGCAGCCAGTGCTCTCTCTCTATAAACAATACAATATGCACTTCAGTTATTAAGAATTATACAATCAATAATAATGCTGTATAGTTAGGTCTCTATTACATGGCACGACATTTTTATGAAATTACGTATCTCGTACATTGTTTTACTAGAGTATAAAAAAATGACGATTAAAAAAAGTTACACGTTAAATTTTCATGTTAAACATAAACAATATAGTAAAGACGATCATGGTTTAATAAAAGCAAAAAGGAAACAACAGTAATACTTAATGTTTGACAGCTGTTTGTTTACAGTGAATACATTGTTATCACACGTAATTGTTCGTAGAATAGTAAAGAGATATCGACAGTTTTTTATAATTGTATCACAATACTCACGCTCGGTGCATTGGAAAACCCAATTGTAAAAGTGTTTGCAATGGGGTTAAATGTTGTTTTGAAATTTTCGTTGGATTTTTCCGCGGCGGTAACGTCGCCATGACGGTAGATTACACCTCTGTAGCTGTTACCAACATTGTTCAAAAGAATGCTATGTGCGTACTTAGATCGAATCGATATTTTCATTTGATTTTCACATTCGAAACTTCGAATTTTTAATTGTTATCTGTATAATTGTCATCGTATTATTCCCTATTTCTTAATGTCAGTGGTTACCTAAAAAGTCATTTAACATGTTCTGAAATCTTCCGCATGTATCATCAAGTCGTGTGAAATTTTAGAAGGAAATTGTTTTTAATCAGCAATTCTTAAAGACTTGTCGAGAGAGGTTAAAATTTGCTATTACAACAGATAAACAGCATCCTTCATTTAAAAATTACATTTGACATTAATAACTTCCAATTATGTACTGTACAATATGACACGACAAACGGTGAACAAAAATTTAAACTTGTAGTTTTAATCAGTATTCAATAACTAAGAAAAATTAAATAGCTACCTTGGATTTCCTTTAAATTTTCTTTGTGCAATTGTATGTGTATAGTAAGTTGTATGTGCACAGTGAGTTAAGTTACCACTGATTTACGAGTTTATCAACATTCGTATATGTAATCGTTTTATGATCAACTCAATCAAATTGTTATTTCGATTCTTTTTCTTTTAGTAAACTTATTTCAGCTGAACATTTCATTAGCACAATACATTTTTAATATCAACAAGGTACTACAATAATAATGAGAAAATATATTTTAGAATAACCAAGTAAAAAGACGATATTCTTTTCGAAATATAAATATTAAGTATAAAATACAATTCGTGTCCAGTAAATTCACGTCGGTTAAACAGAAAAAAGTACAAAACCATTATATACCGTATAAAAGGATCAGGAATAGCAATCTTTTAACATTAAATGCTACATTTTTCTCTATTGGAGAGAGTGTGTTTAAAATCATATAAAACCCACTGTGTACACAAATATTGTAATTCGAATAACTGTATTTCATTTCTTTATATCCAACGCATACTTCATAACAGTTTTAACAATGGCACACGACCGGTACATTGCGAAAAGTTAGTGTAGAAAACAGCGATATGTTTACATATGTATGTTCATTCGTTACAACATTCGGTTACAAACATTCTTCACGCTGTAACATTACAGTAAAGAAGTAACAAGAAAAAAAAAAAAACATCGTAATTTAAGTGTGCTCGAGTGTTGTTTAAATTTCATTCCTTGCACGGCTGTAAAAGCCGTTCAAATTTATATTTTCAAACGAAACTTTCTACTAATTGGCAATCATTTAATGTAGTTAAATTACTTAATGGTTTTTGCAACTTTACTTCTTGCGTAATATTAGACACTGCAAAGTATACTCTGTAGTCTTATTCGATAATAAAATTGTTATGCTGGTCCAAAAAAGAATGTCTGCAAAATACGATATAGTTAACTTTAACCGAGTTATATACTACGAACAATCAGTTTTTGTTTATTGGAAATTAAAAATAACATTTAGATGAAAGTACACGAACAGAGCTAAACTTTAAGGATTAATGAAATATAAGAAAACGCAGGATAAAATTATCGAGATTTAACTTGAAATTTTCAGATTGATCTAGAAAACTTAACGAAATTGACATACTATTGGAAATTAAAAATTACACGAACACACTAAATTCTAAGGATGATGAAGAAATATTGGAAAACGCGTGATAAAATTATAGAGATTTAATTTGAAATAAAAGTGAAAAAATTGATATACTTCTTTTTCTTTTTTCAAGGAATCACATCGAAATTCTTTTTGTAATATTCATAAAATTCCTTTATTCATACGAAAATTATAAAATTCCAGAGAAGTTTAAACAACCCTCGAGGCGCATATTACACAATTATATATGTATGTATACACGTTGTATATAAAATAGAACGCATTTAACTCTGCTATCCGTCGAAGAATCTCGATTCCCCATGGACGCGTAAAATATTCAAATTTTCCATTACTGTACAAACATTAAGCTCGAGTTCTTCATGTAGGTATTTACTTTTTGTGTAAAATCAAAATTTTCAATATATATATATATATATATATATATATCATATTTTTATCAAAATTCATAAGCTATCGTTATTATTCACTGTTTTAGAGAAGAATTCATACATAAGTGTGTTCATTCTTCATGTCTGAAGAAACTGATCGTTCGTTTTCGAATCATTTAGCAATCTAGTTACTATTAGACAAAAATGAACAAACAATACATATATATATATATATATCGTAATTTTGTATAATATTCCTCTTGTTGAATGTAAAAAGAAACACAAAAAACGATAGAAAAGTGAAGAACACTCGTTAGATGCACGTAACAAGAATACAAAAAACGAAATACTTTTAAAAGCAAGATAGATATTTTCCTTCTTTTTTTTTTTTTTTTTCTTTCAAACTCATTCCTCGTACTCTTTCCATCTGGCTTTCTTTGGCATTTCGATAAAGTTTTCCCGTAATTACATATGTACAAACGCAATCAAATCGTAGCACGCAAAGTATTCTGTTCCATTACTGTTTCACCATATTTGCAGAAGTCGCGCGAATTACGAATTACAAAATAATTCATCTGTTATATTATTCTGATACCTGACCGTGAAATCGTTCTCGATACAGCATTACGCTCTTTTACGAACTATGATTATCTTGTAATATTGCATAGTGTGTGACATAGTAAAAAGTACACGTTTGTGCGATATACGAATGCAATAATTATCCCTCGAACTTTCTTGCCCCTTGTTTGCCTTTTTTCCACTTCAATTTCGCGCCAGAAATTCAAGCGAATTTTTTCTATTTCTGTATTCCAATATATCCGTGTGTATCTGTTACACATACACTACAGGCTCATAAATATTTACTCGTCTAATTATTTACAACGTTCTTCGTTGCAACGAGCATTTTCGTTTAATGAGTTTCTAAGGAAAAAAAAAAATGTGAGGTGTTCAACTTGTTTTGCGCAAAAACGAAACAAGTTTCCGTGTGAAGGTTGTTAAACTACCTTGTCTAAGGAAAATTCGATTCTTTTGAAAAATTAATTAGATCTTTGAATAGGAAAAGAGTAGAAAATAGTAGACGGATAAATACTGAATGAACGGTAGTGTATGTTTAATTTTTAACGAGCTGTTTATGTCAGCTCTTGGGGGAGCTGTAAATTTCTTATTACGGAAGAAAATCGTTTACGATAGTCATTGCTGCAATTATTGCATGTGGAAGCATGAAGGTTGTAAGTAATTTCTGTCATTCCTTGCTTGGAACAACATACGAGTCACTTTCGAATATCGAAAAGTCTTTCAACGAACATTAAAACGGAACATTTCATTGTTTTTGCCGATTCACAGAATGACAAAATCAATTGTTAACAGAGATTATATTGTATCTTTTTTCTTATCTTTTTATCATAATTATTTACTATGCGATTTTCATTCGACGTATTACAACAATGAGATAATTGAGAATTGTTTGAAATTGATGTTTCGGGGGGAATGAATTTCTTACGAATCGAAAATTTCCATATCTTTCTCGAGAAGCTAATTATCGTCCTTTTTAACCGTGTGCATAATTGTTATTTCGAAAGAAACGGTACAACGTGAGATTAATTTGCGAGCAGGAAAGGTATGAAATGACAACGAAATCGGAAGTTGCACTACTGTTTTTTCAAGTAAAGTTGCTTTCAATCAACGACAACGCGAAGTAGGAAAAGAAATGCTTGACTTTGTGTTCATTTGTTTGACTAGGTCATTGTTGGAAACCTGAAAACATATAACATTATAGAATAAAATCGTGAAATTTCCAATAAAATTCAGGATAAATGCATGACATAAGATAAACAAAATTCATTCTTTGTTGGGCGTGTATGGATTTTGGCATAAGAATTTCTCGCATCACTGCACGGATCGTACTATCATTCATATATTACGAATCTCTCCTTCTTATGGCAGTCCATACAATGCATTCATTGCTCAAAACGATTTTTGCAACAATCAGAAAGAATCAAAAGATAAATGAAAATATTTCATTTACGATAAGAAAAAACCTTTCCTATTCATCCAACTAACATTACAATTTAACGATTTCCTTAAATTTCTATTAAAATTGAATTTTTCTTTTGTAATCTAATCTGTTTGAATATTAAAAAAAAAAAAAAAAGAAACGAAAAATACCATCTTATCAGATGATCCTTTGAATTATTTCAAGCAGTGTCACGATACAGAAATTAAATGCCGGTTTATGTTTCATTGCACGTTTCAGTGACTAGATGCAATCTTTCGACTAGCATTACCTAGTAAGAAAAGAATTAAAGAACAATTCTAACACGATTGTTATATTAACCTTCAAAAAAATTCATTTCGACGAGCAGAGTCCTAGCACTTACAACTGTAACATTAAGGTCCCATCGTTGAATTTTCCTCTACGTTCTCTAATCCTCTAGGAAGGCACTCTATGAAATAATACTAATACCGACCCAAAACCGATAGAAAACATTTGATCGTTTAGAAGACAAAAAAAAAAAAAAGAACAAAAAAGAAAGTACACTTTCGTTTCCCTACTTCTCGCAATAAACTACCTTTTTTTTTCTCGATAAACAGGTACATTTTTTTTCTCTTTTCCAGAATATATCGCACAACAATACTTTCATCTGATCCAAACAACACGTATGATCGATTTACCTTAATTCCGCTACAATGAAGTATCGATAGAAAAACAAAAAAAAAAAAAAACAAATCGAAAATTTCCAATAGAAACAACAGAATCGGCCTCCAGATTAAAAAAAGAAAAGGAAAGGAAGAAATTGTTCT